GTGTATATAGTTTCTTTCTAAGTTGCAACTTCCTCACTAATTCTTCTCCCTGACTTTCTCCTAGCAGAAATAAGCCAGCTTTGCAAGCAGATCCCAAAGGTATTTGCCACCATAAGCATTTGCACCAGTCTGCAAAACTTGCAACAATCACATACATATTTTTTCATACTTGCCACTCCCCCAACCACTCCTCCTTACTATCACTACCTTCTTGTCTTAAATTTTCAGGTCTACCAACCATCTCTGGGTCGTCAAACATGTGTCCTTATTGAACATACTTCATATCTCCCAACACACAAACTTCTCACAGAGCTTCAGATAAGGACCCACCCACAAAAGGAATGGGGTCAGGCTAAAATCTGAGAAGCCACATTGCCCCATAAGTGCTAGGGAGACTGGGAGAGGGCATTGTGTTCCACAAAATAGGTAGAACTACTTATAGCGGTGGCAAACCTATGGCACACATGCTGCAGCCAGCTGTTTGTTATCACTGAAAGCTCTGAAAGGTTCATCATCACTGTACTAGCAAGCAACTGAAGCCTTGGTTGGGGCTTTCCTATCATTACAAAGACAGTAGCAATGACAGAGCCAGGGTTAACAGGGCTACCCATTAAAATCCCCAATCTATTACCCTCCTTTTCCTGGAGGCTCTTCCCCCTCCTCCAGGTCCATGGTGTACTCACCATTTTGATCACATCACAGGAAGAGACTTTTGGAGACCAGATTAGTTCATATGATCTCTCCCTCCTCTTTCTTTTTTTCCTATTACACTTACAGTATGGAGTACTCCACCTAGCAATTTATTTCTTTTTATCTTCTGTTGTTCTCCAATAGCCTCGTATGTGTCCTCTCAGCTTCCTAGCCAATTCCTGCTCCCAGATCCTCTTCCTTCTCCCTCTACCCTAAGGCCACTGTAAAGCCTTAGTGAATGCCTACTGAGCAACTAGTTCGAGAAACAGATGAAAAACATAGTAGACATACTCTTTTGGTGTACAAAATTTCCTAAGAATCCTAATTCTACCTCTTTATTCCCTTTAGCAAGTTAAAATGTGACGTTTATATAAAAGAATTCTAAAGAAATTGGAAGATGCTTATGATAAAATGCCAAGCTAAAAGAGATAGGATATAAAAATAGATATACTTTGTGAGCTCAACTACATAAAAAAGACATAAAAATATTGGGTAAAATAAAGAAAAAAAAAGAAAACAAGACTGGAAGAAAATATACCAAAGATTAAACTTTGTCATTGCCAGGTTGAACTACAAAAGGTTGATATTTGTTTCATTTAGTTTTCTTTCTGGAAATGCCAGAAACTGCACTTTAAAAAAATTTGAGTGAATGTTAAATTGGATTCTATTTATAGAATTAGTGGGCACTGACCTGGGAATAGAGAGATGAAAGTTGTTATTTATATTAGGAGAAAACGGAATAAGTATATCACTCAGGGTCTAACCAGAAAACGAAAAATTACTCTAGAAATTAAAAACAGGGAATTCAATTCAGGAAATTGGTTACCCAGGTGATAGGACGGAGCGAAAATCCAGAGTTTACCAGAAGCCAGGCCATATCATATAAGTTAGAACCAAGAGAGCAGAGCCTCATTTCTTCACCCAGATAATGTGCTGGTCAGAGAAGGCAGGGAGCATCCCCTTTCCTTCTCACATTTAATCTCCCACTAGTGCCTTCTATGAGCCAAACTCAGTCATAATGTAGTATTCATGAAGCTTAAGAAATGCAGCTTGCAAGAGGTGGCTCCCTGCAAAACAGGGAAGAACAGAATTTGGGAGAATGAATCTGAAGACAAAGCAATCTAGGAGTAGCAGGAAGTGGGCAAAAATTTGGTCAAATTATCAAACAGACTCTAGGCCAGGTCAATAAAGAAGTGAAGTACACACATTGGAATTTTGAAGAGAATATGTTTTATGCTATGTAACCGAAGACAAACCTAATGTTTAGTTTAACAGTCAGTTCTTGACAATTGTGTATTAGTTGTATTGTTTTCCTTTTTTCTTCACTTTAACCAATATTTTTATGCCTTTTTATGTAGTTGAGCTTATAAAGTTTATCTATTTTTACATCTTAGTTCTTTTGGCTTGGCATTTTACCATAAGCATCTTCCAATTTCTTTAGAACTCTTTATATAAATATCACTTTTTAACTTACTAAAAGGAACAAAAAGGTAACTGCCTAGATACCACAGGCCAAGGACCTAAACAACAGAAATTTACTTTCTCAGTTTTAAAAGCTGGAAGTCTAAGACAAAGATTTGGCTTCTTATGCCACTTTTCTTCTTGGTTGGCAGATGATCTCTTTCTTGCTCTGTCCTAACATGGTCTACCTTCTATGCCTTGCACACCCATGGTGTCTCTGTGTGTCAAATTTTCTCTTTTCATAAGGACAGAGTCATATTAGATAAGGACAACTCTAATGGCCTCATGTCACCGTAATCACCTCTTTAAAGGCATTGTCTCCCCATACAGTTACACTCAGTGAGTTATGGCTTAATATAAGAATTTTAAGGGAAACACAATTTAGTCTGTAATAGTGTCTCTCAAACTTTCTTGATAGTCCCACTGGCGTTACCATATATATTAAACACACAGGCCCCTCACAGGAGATACAGGTTGATTTGCCAAAACTTAGTGTGGTAGATTAAAAATGGCTACAAATTGTTGACTAGTTTTCCCATTAAGAAACAGTTTAGAGGGGCCGGGAATTTAGCTCAGTGGTTTCGCTGCCTGCTGCACAAGCGCAAGGACCCGAGTTCGATCCCTGGTACCAAAAAAAAAAAAAAAAGAAAGAAACAGTCTAGGGCCAGGGAGTTAGCTCAGTGGTTTCCCCGCCTGCCTCACGAGCCTTGCACCTGCCTTGCAAGCGCAAAGTCCTGAGTTCGATCCCTGGTACCCCCCCCCAAAAAAAAGAAAGAAAAGAAACAGTTTAATTTCCATTCCCTTGAATCTGGGTTGGTCTTAATGATTTGCTTGACACATAGAATGCAGCAGAAGAGACATGCTGGGACTTCTGAGGCCTTGCACCTTTGTTGAGTGCTCTTAAAACACTCACACCAGGGAAAGTTGACCATCACATAGGAAAGTCTGACTACACTGAGACTACCATGCTGTGAGGAAGTCCAAGTTGCCACATGAAGACCACATAAAGACAGGTGGCTGCCCAGCCCAGCTGCTCCAGCCCAGACACCAGATATGGCATGAAAAAAGCATCACAAAACTCCAACCATGAAGACATAATGTTATGGAAGAGAGGAGATAGGAAGTCAGGGAGGAATGTAGCTTGTAATATTATGAAATATATATTTAGTCTTTGGATTAGATATATAGTCTTTAGATTAAATACATATTTAATCTCTGGTTTTTTATGCTAATGAGATGACTGGTGTCTGGGGGCTCCTAGATAGTTTCAGAATAGAGGTTTATTACCAGAAAGATCACGGAAGATTAAAGTGTCAGGGCTTTCAGACCCTCCCCCCACTGGAGAGGGTGAGGAGAGGGCCAGAAGATTAAGTTGATTACCAATGGCCGATGACTTCATCAATCATATCTACATGATGAAGCTTACATAAAATCCCAAGAGGGTGGGTCCAGAACATGAGGTTTCTTGAGAGGCCAGGAAGCTTGTGTTCTGTGCCACATGCTCTGCCCTATGTGGCTCCTCCATCTGGATATTAACCCATATCCTCTGTAAAATCCTTAATGGTAACTGAGCGTACATGTTTCCTTGAGTTCTGTGAATTGCTCCAGCAAAGTGATTGATCCTGAAGATGTTGGTGTGAACCCCAATTTTTAGCCAGCTGGTCAAAAACACAGGTTCCAACTTGGGACATGTAATTGGTATTTGAAGTGGGGAGCACTTGTGAGACTTTCCCCAGGTAGACAGTGTCAGAATTGAATTGATTTATAGGGCACCCAGTTAGTGTCCATTAATGAATAGATCTAATTGGTTGCTGGTGGTGAGAAAGCCCTACATATTTACCAGAGATAAAGTATTGTGTTGAGTGGTTAGGTTAAGAGTATATATGTATACTCTCATGTATATTATAGCTATAGGCAGAACTGAAACACTAGTTAAGAATCAAGAACAGAGAGCCCAGCAGAATGATTTAAAATATTTTGAGTTTGACCAGTAAGGAAGCTCTAGTAATGTTGCAGGCTGTAAAGATGGAACAGAGGAGAAATTGGTCACTGAAAAGACTAGCAAGAAAAAGCCAATTATTTCAGAAGAAGACAACAGAAAAGATGGCCTGAGGATATCACAATAACCAGTAGGACTCAGCCTTTGCAGCCTCAGAGTTGCAAAAGTGGAAGACTTTGCTTTGAGAAGAGTTCTCCAGAGCACCATGTTCCAGAATGGTGGCAGCCTAAAGAATTTATTCCTCAGGATTGGGTTCATAGTGCTCAGTGACGCAGACACATGACCTCCCTACAGCCAAGAGAGAAGGAAGCCTGGCTACTGTTACAGCCAGCAGCAGACCCTGGCATCATCCAAGTGGTGCTGGTTTTAGATGCATGCAGAATGCAAGAGTTGTGGGGTCAGGAAGCTCCCACTCAGATTTCAGAAGACCTGGGAGGCCAGGCAGTGTGCCCCTGAGAGGGCAGGGTTCGAAGCTGTGTGTGAAGCCAAAGGTGCAGTGGAGACCCCAGAAATTTGGAGAAGGAATGTGGAATATCTGAGAAAAACTGCAAGGAGAGAGCAGAGTCAGCCCAAGAGAGAAGCTGTGGGAGCTACAACCACCAGCAGTGCCATGGGGCAAAGCCACCCAAGCCCTTTGGAGTTCACATCTTGCCACAGACTGCCTTGGATGTTGAACATGGAACTACTGGGATTAATGTTTGTCCTGCTGAACTTTGGACTTGCTTTGTTCCCATTCCTTTCTATCTCCCTCACTGTACCTTTTGGAATGGTAATGTCTATCTTGTGCCATTGAATGTTGGAAATGTTTAACTTTCTTTTCATTTGTACAGGGGCTTGCAGCTAAGTTTGCCCTAAATCTCAGAGAAGACTTGGAACTTGGACTTTTCAGCAATGCTGAGACTGTTAGGACTTCAGCAACTCTTGGAGGTAAACTAAATGCCTCTTACATAAAGGAATGTACATGAGTCTTTGGGGGGCCAGGGGCAGAATGTTATGGCTTGTGTCTAGATATCCACCCCCGCCACCACCCCCACCCCAAACCTCATGCAGTCAGCTGGGGCTTTTCTGAGGTGGCTGGATCTAGGGTTTGTGCTGCTGGGATCAAGGATGTGATGCTGGGATTGATTCAAGGTGCGATGCTAGGATTAAGGCTTTGAGTGCTACTCACCCTAAGGGCGGGTAGCCTAGGTAAGATATAAGGGACAAAAAGAGATGTGGTTCTGTCCCTTAATTCTTGTTATTGCTATTGCTGCTCCTGCTGCTGCTGCTGTTGCTCCTGCTGCTGCTGCTGCTGCTGCTTGTCTTCTGCTCTGTGGTGCCCTTCTGCCATGTGCCACCCTCCCTTGGGGCCAGCCAATTATGGTCTGAAACCTCTATAAACTGTGAGCCAAAATAAACCTTTTCTCCTTTAAAAATAAATCTAGGCTACCTGGGCTGAGGTCCCAGGCATTGTAGAGTAGAGATGGCCCATCCCTGCCTCTATTCTGCCTTTTCCTGTTATTAGGGATTGAACCCAGGGCCTTCATACTGAGCTACATTCCCAGCCTTTTCTTCTTTTTTATTTTGAGACAGGGTCTAAGTTTCCCATGTGAGACTTGACCTTGCTATCCTTCTGCCTCAGCTTCCCAGAGTGATAGAATTACAGGCATATGCCACAACATCCAGCTTCTGCCTGAACTCTTGACCCACAAATTCATGAGCCTAATAAAATGGTGTCATTTTACACCACCATTATCTTGGGGTCACCAAGAGAAAAATGGAACACATGGCCAGTGTGTGCAGTCTGATCTGGTCAATCTCAGCTTCAACTTGGTCTCTGCTCCAAGTAACCTCCCCACAGATGGATGGCAGGGTTGAAAAGAGTGAAAAGGGGCACAGGTAGGGTCTTGAAGAGAGATGACAGCATTCCAGTGTACAACTCCTTGAAAAAAGTCAGAAGCCCAGGAAGGGCTCAGAGGAGAAGTAGTAAGGCCAACCACCTGAAGCTCCTGTATATCTCAGCTTCTGGCCTTTCACACAGCTTTGTCTGCCCAAATGCCCTCAGCTCGCCTCTCCTCTCCTCTCTTCTTCTTCTTCATCCCAGCCCTTTACCATCTTCCAATCCTATTTAGAAGTTGTTTTTTGGTTTAAGTGGAATCTGACCTGTTTCTATTCAATCTTGTTTCCTAAATTTCCTCAGTACCATAAGCACAAAACACAGAAAATGAGGTAATTTGGAAAAGTACTTTGTGAACTGTAAAGCTCTGTTTATTATACATAGTCTTGCATGTATGTTGCTCTTTACACAATCTTTCCTATCTGACTTTTCAGCATCAAGAATTACGTGGTCACGGGGAGGAGCACTGTTACCTCTGGCCCCATCTTGCTTTTCCAAATCTTCTGGAATCCACTGCATGCTCGGAAAGCACAAGCTGACATCACCTATAATAACATATTCTCAAACTTCAACATTTATGGGCCCTTGATTAGTACCTCAGAACCCTCTCCATTCCATGCCAAAGCTAACAAGTATGCTCAGTTTTCTTTGATGCATGTGATATATAGCAAGAAAACCAAAATAGCTCCCATTTGTGGGACAAGTCAGGAGTTAGGTATTGGGAGGCAAGTCTCCACGGTCTCTTACATTTCTGTACCTCTTATAAGCCAAGACCCTGACAGCTTTTCTCCCAGATTATCTTTTCAAGGATGTTCATATAGTGAATAGCCTTGGAAGATACAGATATTATCTCCAGAGGAAAGATTTATTTGATGATAAATATAACAAAGGTAATTCTCCCTCTGGGAAAATAAGTTAGGCAGATTTGCTAGTAGCTCCTTTAATAGACTAGAGTTTCCTAAGCTTAGGGTCCCTCAGTTGTGACAAAAAACCCACTGCACATGCAGCATCTACCTGGGCCATTATGCATTGCCCCTGTGGGACTTGGAAGCAAGGGGAATCAACACAAATATGCTGAAATTCATGCTGCCTGCTTCCCATGAGTGGTTAAGACCTTTGTTGTTGACCCAGGAGTCTCATATCTTCTGTCAGCATCTATAAAACTGGCAGGCTAACTGGTTAGCTTGTGTGCAGGTAAAATCTCAGACCTTAACACTTCACAGCTCTTGACACCAGGTGATAAAGAACATACTCCTCCCCTCTGAAACACCTGCTCTAGCTGCTCTCATTCCCCCTGTCCAAAGTACTTCCCTTTCTCGATTATAAATCCCACTGCCTATGCTGGCAGAGTCCAAGACAAGCTGAAGGTAAATGTAATTAAGTGACTAATTCACATGCTAGACACCAATTTCTGTCAGAACCAGCCAGGCTGAGGGGATAATGATATTAACTACAGCAGCTTTTGGTCTGAAGGGAAATCTTTTCAGAAATGTCTTTTTCCCTATAAGCTTTTCTCTTCTATCACCATTAGCCCCTTATGACCATTTTCTTGCCATCTAGAATGTCCACACCCTCCAACCCAGCAACAGCACTGCAGAATTTTGTCTGTCTGGGCAGCACTTTAGAACATGCAGATTTCTCTTCCAATCCCAGATTTACTAAATCAGAGTCTCTAGAATGAGAACCAACAGTCTACATTTTTTTAAATGCCCCCACATGATCCTGAGTATAGTGAAATCTGTTCTAAGCCTTGTAAGTCATCCCTAGCTGCATATGAAAATACGATGCTCAGACTTTAGCCTGTTAAGTCTCACTAGTGGTCCTGGAATGGTACCCATGCATGGTTGGTTTGTTTGCCTGCTTGCCTGTTTGCTGACTTTAGTTTCACCTTGGGTGGTTTTAAAATTTTTTCCCAGAATATTCCATTTGCAATCAGGGTTGAAGACCTCCAGTCTAGCCACACTACTGGGAACAGGTGAAAAGATTTTCCCTAATATTTCTTTGTTCCAATATCCTATTACCCTTCAACAAATTCATTTAGTTCTTCTCCTTTTCAAATAAAAATCTTAAAAATGCTCACCTTGTAATTCTCTAATAGTCACTTACAATACAAATCTCCCCCATAGTATAGACTAAATTGGCTTCTCCTTCTTTTACTCCAATCCACTTTGATAGTCCAAACAACCTACTTAAAGCTTATCTATCCATCAGTCTACACATGCCTTGCTAAGGATATTCAGGGACAACTGGCTTATTACTGTGTCATTCGTGGCCCACCTCCGTTCTGTTTCCAGCACCAAGTTTCCAGGTTAGCCAAAGCCTGGTTGAAGAGACCTCTATATACCAGAGGCTTAGGGACTTCGGCTGATGAGCAGATGGAAAGCTGCAGGGAATGCTTGTCTCATTTTCCCTCTCACCCCCCGGTGTGAAGTGGGTGGCCAGCATACTACAGAAGCCTCCATCTGGGTAACAAATTTTTTTAAAAATGCCAAATTGAGCAAACCTGATGTGGAACCCTATCTTGCTCTCACTCTGTTCTTGATAGTATGCCTTAATATTAGAGTTACCTGGGCATCTCTAAATAGAAGATATTTATTTCTTTAAGGGATAGAGAGAGGAGCGTGCTACAGAGCCTCAGGTCCATTCCCAGAAAGCAGGAATTTCTTTAAAGAAAGCATGATCCACACACCCAAGGTCCTAATTCCTGTGTCTTTCAGAAAGATATCCTCACCCACATCGACATGAGCTCTGGAAAGTGTAGCCATGTCATCAAGATCAATCTTTAAAATAAATCACCGTGGATTCTTGGATTCTTGAAAGGATCATTCACCATCATTCCTCTGTCTGCCCCTCCCCTGCTGGGAGAATAAGTGTCCCCATACTCTCTCCATAATCACCTCTGTCAAAACCCCCACTGAAGAGGAATGCATACACTCAGTCTTGAAGGACTGATAAGGCCTCACGAAAAAATCTGACATCAAAGGAATAAGTTATTTTAATGGTCAAATTGTGAGCTGTGTTGAGCTGGACAGAGAGATTCTCTAGGGGAACTGCAAGAGGACTTTTTATTTTTGGAGAAAAAGGAACAAGTATATTAAACTCAGCTCTGGTCAAGTGAACAGTTTTTGCAGGACGTTATCTTGCAACAGGCTCTGTTTGGATACTGTGTATACTCTGTGCTGTATGACAAGATCCCTCCTCCTAGACACATAAGAAGACTTTTGAAATAACATATATTACTCATTTGCTAAGCATGCTTCTGATTGGAAGCATCTGTAAAATAATAACTCATTCAATCCTGACTACAGTCCTATGGTGTTTGCTACTGCTTTTACCCCCATAGCACAACTGGGAACACTGAGCAACAGAGAAAGGAATAGAACTATCTTAGTCCATTTTCTGTTGCTATAACAAAATAGCACAATCTAGGTGATTTATTAACAATAGATTTAATTTTACAGTTCAGAGGCTAGGAAGTCCAAAAGCATGAGACCACCATCTCATGATGGGCCTTCATGAGGGCCTTCAGCTATGTCATAATGTAGCAGACAGTGTCAGGCAGAACAAGTATGCTTTCCCTCTGATAAAGCACTAATCCCATCATTGGGCTCATCTCCATGACCATATCTATCCCTAATTACTTTACTTCCCAAAAGTTCCCCCTCAAAATGCCATCAATATATGAATTCAGAGATTAAGTTTCCATGACACGAGCTTTTCTTTTCGGGGACACATTCAAACCACAGCAAAAACAAGGTTCAACCCAAGAAGTCTGCCTCTGGAATCCATGTACTTTACTATGGCAAATGTTTTCAAGTGACTAAAGGTCCAAAATGCTGTACTTGTGCTACTATTGCTCAAAGGAGTCTTAATCTACTCTTTAGTAACTTTTCCTCAGGGTCTTATGAATAGCCTCCACTGAACACAGCTTTTTCTACTGATGAGGCAGCCATAGTAAACAAGCTGACCCTTCAGCCAGGTAACTTGATTCAAGGTAACTAACCAAGCATGACTGTAAGGAGGTTAAGATTCTGTCTCTGCCATTCTTAACCTGACTTAGAGTGCAATTCTCGTGGCTCAGGGGCAGATCCCACAGGTCTGCCTCCATCCCTTAGCAATCAGCATCTACCTGCTGTACTGAACCTGCTGATACACCAGGTGCAGCAAGTGCACCAGTGGCCTTGATAGCAAAAAGGTGGAGGGGTAGCTGGGCACAGAGAAGGGGCACTTTTGCCATCTGAGTGCTGATGACCAGGGTGCTGACACTTGGCTCTTGGGTTGCCCTGGCCCTGGCATTTGCATGATCCTCTTCTCCCCATCACTGTCTTGCTCTGTGGGTTTATAAGGCAGCTCCCCAGAGCAAGACAGAAGGTAGACAGTGCTGCCTATGCCCCAGGTGTGGAAGTGAGGCTGACTGGAGGAACAGGAAGGAACAAACACTGGAGGAACTGCTAATCACCCTCCAGCCAGCACCAGACAGACCTGCCAGTAAAAAGCAAGTACAGAGCTCCACAATGAGGAACTTCAACTGGAGCTTTAAGAGAAATACAGAGGTGGCAGGGAAGAAATGAAGGCCAAGTGGGTCTCTTTTTCAACCAGGAAGGGAAAGATATGCAAGGAACCTAAAGTAAGCAGGATAAGTAGGACAAGCTTTGGTGTTAGCATGAGTCAAGTTTTGGTAGCATATTGAAGCATTTTCAAGAACTCCATAAATGGGAAAATGAAGATGGTTGCTAGCTATACTCAGCTAGCTCCTCCTTCTCATTTAAATGCATTTATACAGACCTATCCCTTCAAAATCCCGCTTTTCTGACTCATCCTCACTCAGATACATGTCTCAGACACCCTAGTACTATATACAAATTACTATGAATTAATTCCTCCATTCAGCAACCACTGATGGGATGGATGCCTGGTATGTGTTAGATGCTAAAGATACAAATTTGGTGGGGGGTACATCATTCTGGCCTTGAGGGTCTCTCTGGTCTATTGTGGCAACCAAATAAAAGAACTGGAATATAAATCTAAGTCCATTGAGATCCAAATGAGATGGCTATAGAAGTAGGAAGGTCCAGAAAGGCTTCCAAAGGACCTGTATCATGAATATCCAGCTTTTCCTTAGAAGTGTGGAGGCAACTGGATAGGAGAGAATATTGGCAGGCACTTCTGTCCTTCTGCAGAGCTGGAACACAGGAGAGGCTGGGGAGTCAGGTAGGGCTTAGGAATTCCTTATGCTAAGGAATTTGGAACTTATTTCACAGAATTACTACAGGAGTACTGAGGAACTTAATCCAAAGGAATGACATTATAGGATTTGGCTTTTAGAAGCCATTATAGTATCTAATAATTGTATAGTATTTGTATTTCTCTAAGCTTTTCACCTATATTAATTCATCCAATCCTTACAACAAATTTATGAGGCAATATTATAATTAACTTCACTCTAAATATGAAGAGACATTAAGGCACAGAGAGGTTGACTTGGTCAAGGTCAAAGAGCTGCCAACTAGTGAAACTGGAATAAAATTCAGATCCATGTGACTCTAGAGCCCAAGTGCTCACGCTGTGCTCTTTCCAGGCTCCATGCACCCTTTTGCTTATTGTTCCTGAGAACCCCATCCCATCTCTAAGAAGCAGCTCACCCATACCTCCACCATTCCCTCAATATATAATTGCCATTTCCTCTGTTCCCATAGCACATACATATAGTGGCATTCATCACTACATTCAGATTTGTCTGAATCCCTTTTAAACTATAGGGTGGTAAGATCTTGGAGGTGGGTCCATATTTTAAATTTCTAGCTCCTTCCCATCCAGTTCTTGGAACAAAGGTATTTATTAAATATATATAAAGCTAATGAGCATTTTAAAATAAAGATACTCTGTGCACTAGTTGGCAAGGACTACCATAATGAAATAGCACAGACTGAGGGTCATAAACAACCAAAATTTATTTTCTCAGAACTCTGGAGGCTGGAAGTTCACTATCATTTACAACTAAGGTTGGTTTCCTCTGAGGCCTCACTTTGGCTTGCAAATAGCTTCCCTCTTATTGCCTCCTCAAGTGGTAATCCTCTGTGCATGAGCTCAAGGCATCTCTCCTGGAGCCCTACTCACCTCTTTTTATAATGCCATAGGTCATCCTCAGGACCTCATTTTTACTTAATCGCCCCTTGAAGGGCCTTATCTCAAATACAGTTATGTTCTGAGGTACTAGGAGTTAGGACCTCAACACAGGAATTTGGAGAGGTCACAATTCAGCCCATGACAGTCTTTCCATACAAATACTTTATATTTTGCACTTCTTTGCACCTCTTCCCCATCACTTTATTTTTCTTTTTGTGTGTTTTATACTCAGTATGAAGATCTCTGATGAGGAAGAACAGCTGTGAAGATGCTGTGTTGGTCAGAAAAAATGAGTAACATGAGGACAGCAAGCAGAAAGCACATCTTTCAGGACTGGAGGCTAATGGCAAAATGGGTAAAGAAGCATAGGTGAAACCAGAAAGCATAGCATGGACCGCCAGTTCCCTTAATCCCCTTAATCACCTCAGTGCTACGTGACTATGGCAAGGAGACCCTGAGATAACCCTCAGTGATCCTCTCTCCTGGAGTGTACACTGGCCTGGTGACCTGCTTCTTCACTGTGGCACTGGGCTAAGGTGACAAGGTGCCACTTCTGTAATTAGGCCACATTACACTGTGACTTCCATCTTGCTCCCTTCCTCTCTCTCTCATTAGCTTTAATGAATTAAGCTGCAATGCTAGAGAGGCCTTCAAAGCAAGGAACAAAAGTACTTAGTTCAAAAACCCCTGGTGCACTAGCAACAACCATGTCAGCCAGTTTAAAAGTGGGTCCATCTCTAGTCAAATCTTCAGTGAGACCCCAGTACTAGATGATACCCCAACCATAGCCTCACAACAGACCATGAATCAAGGACCCAGTAAGCTGTGTCTGGACTCCCAACTCACAAACACTGTGACCCACACACTACAATAAATGTGTATTGTTTAAAGACATTAAGTTTTAGAATTATTTGTTTAATAGCAATGGTTAGCTAATACGTTGCCTTAAAAATCCTCTTTCTAGCCCTCAAATATTTGTTGCCTTATTGTTTTGACTTCTGACCAACTAATATCTTCCAGCAGCCACACTTGTATTTAACTCCCTTAGGATAATTTTATCTTGCATAATAATTTTTATCAGATTGCTTTTGCCTACTGTGCAAGGATAGTCTCTATATAGACACACCTAGGAGGAACTCCTGGGACACTAACACCCAATAGGGAAATACACAGTCAAACTTAACTTGGCAGCGAGAGCCTCATCTCTGACCTACCCCAAGGTTACTGTACTCTGCCCCTAAAACTCAAGAGCACTCTCCCACCTGCCTTAGTTTCTCTTTTCTACTTCAATCTTTTTTCTCCATTAGAGGAAGAAGCTGTGCCTCTGTATCCCTCCTAGGTACCACTGCCCACTATAAACCGTTCACAGAATTCATGGGTATCCAGGGCCTATTTCCCTCTCTTCTCTACTTCCAGTTCTTTCTAAACCTCGGGGAAAAAAAAAAAAATTTCGTTTCCTTTCCCTCAACTTTCTCCTTGCTGCTGTGTTCCATTTTATAGCCCAAAATAATCCTAATCATGGATGATAAGTGTAAAATTGGTGCCAGGGATTTACACCTGCATTGAGAGAGGGAGCACCATGCATTTTGAAGTAAATTAGAGCTAATAAAGAACCCAAAACAGCAACTCCAAAGCCCTTAGGAGCAGCCTGAACTCAACTCAACATCAGAGCCTCTATTAATGCTTCCACCCCCTGCTCCTCATCTTCTAATTTAACTTCCTTTTGATCATGAGCAGCTTTTCAGAAAAAAATAGGACTCCTCTTTGCTGTAATTTTTCCTATGCTTACTATTGAAATAATGTCATTCTTTCTTTTTCTTCATTCCAAATGTATATGTGGTGAGCTAAGTTATTTTAGGTGTAGTCTGGGAATGTTTAACCATTATGCATGAATGTAGATTTTTAGAAAAGCCACAGGCTTAGTTCTGACAACTGACTTATTAGACATAATGTACTTGTAACTTGGGTCATAGAAACACACCAAGCAAGGGTGGTATTGTTCATTATAGGAAGTGAGGTGAGAGATGGAAATGCCAAGCAGAACTGAGAGAAAGGATAGCCTAGCAAATGTGGAAAAGGAGAGCAAGGGTGGGGGAATAGAGGTACAGTGTTTACTGACTTCAGACTATATGTGGGGCACTGAGCTGGAAGTTTTTCGTGTTATTTCATGAGGAAGGGCATCTCCTCTTTCTGCTTTATAGTGAAAGAGACAAATTCCTAGGAGCTTCTGTGACCTGCCAAAAGGTCACACTTCTGGTAAGTACCGGGGCTAAAATTCCAACTTGGATCTTTGAGGATCCAACAAGGATCTTCTTGCCACTTCCCTGTGTACCTATCTCCTTCTTTTTCTAGGTTAATAGAAAATCGATTACTTTTCTTGATGAAAGTTGGAGGAAGGCAATGGTAAAGCATAAGAATAAACTGGCAAAGAAACTCTGGAGAACTCAGAGTTTATATTTCCCACGCTTTGGAAAATTCAGTGGCCTTCAAGAATGGAGCTAAAAGAGTGGCGATGATGAGTCTGAAACTGTTCAGGAGCACTAGAAAGAGAAAGCAAGGGTACTCCTTCCAAAGAGGAGGTAAGAAATAGAACCAGCTCAAAGAGAAGAGCCACAGCTGTGAAACCAAGAAAGACTGAACATACACAACCCCTCCAGTCACCCCCAGTTTGGCATAATCCTGATCTCACATATACATATATATATATATATATATATATATATATATATATATATGTGATTATAGTTAGGAGAAACTAATGAAGGGGAAGCTATAGCTTCACAAGGAAGATACAGCTGTGTATCTTGAGCATTAGCTTCTTTAAAATATTTGCCCTGAATTATTTTCCTTTTGCCATTTGCTTGTCATTTAAACATCACCCTTTTAATAAAGACACATGTTGTGGACCTGAGAAATTGTGTAGCTTGAGGACACTACTGTGTGGATCTGGAAGTCTAGATTGAACCTGGGGCTGTATTCCTGAAAGAGACCCAAGACGGTACTGATGCAAGTAGAGCAGACTCCACTTTAGGAAACACTGGCTTGGACTAAACAGCTGTGGTAAAGCCACCTATTACTTAATAATGTATGGATTCAGTTCAAGCTGTTCACCAAGATATGGGGCTTAGGAAACTGGGAAAGCTGCAAAGAATAAGAAACTTCTGGGCTGTTGGTCCTGAAACTACAGTTACCTGCAGAACACTTCAGACCAGCCACCAGCCAGCACTTCACAATCATCTCTTCAATGGTTCCCTTCCTAAGCTTTTGACTTATTTGGGGTCCTCAACTCCCCTAACATTGCTCCAAATTAATTGCTATCTCTGATTTTTTTTATTAGACAATGAATAAGGTAAGGGTTACCCTGGATATCACTGTGTACATAATGCCCCAATGGGGGGCAACAGAAGGCTTTACCTAGATCCAGACTGCCAAGCAATGGCCTTTTCCTGAGTGTATGGGAGGTAGTTGGCCTTCTAAAGAGGACACATGGAGAGGTCTCCATCCTGCACAGAGAGGGCCCCTCAGTCTCTCAGGTCCCATGGAAAGGAAAAGACAGAAAAAAGGAAGCTTATTAGTACATTTTCCCCAACCAGTGGTGTTCAACCAGGCATTTCTTTCTACCTCTAGCAAGGAAGGGACCCCTCAATACCTTCTCAGGGAAGTCAGGTGATCTTTACTAAGTGCACTAAGCCCTTGGGACCCAATGGGCATCTCTGCTCCAAGAGTCTGACAGGAAATCAATCAGCTGTTTCCTTTGCTTTATGATTATCATGGATGTCCATTAGGTAGGAGGTTGAATCAAATGAGCTCCAAGAATCCTCCTCAGGTTAACACTGTGATCCTTTTAGCCAAGACCCAAGGATGCCTTTTTATCATGAAGCAAGAACATAAGTGGTCTAAAATGAGAAGGTACAGGAATTTCCCAAATTCCCTTGAAAATAAAAAATAGCAGCAAAAGGAACAAGCCAGACAAACAGATCATAGAACTGGACTTTGTTTTGCATCTGAAAAATCTGAGGCCAAATTGGAAAAGTGACTTATGCACAAGAGAATACAGCTGGGGATTGAGCTTGGGCTGGAGCCAGGACTCTTCACTTATGCTCATCACCCTCTGTGGTTCAGGTCAGCTGCCTTTGGCTTGGCAGGGTATGCCCTGATTTTTGGTACCAGCAGCTGCTTTATCCTCTTAGGTGCATTTGGTTCCAGCTAATATTTTAAAAAGTCAAAATCCCTGAGAACATACAGCTCAAATGGTAGGGATAAGGCCCATGGCCACAGCTCGGTGACAGAGAGAAGGATTTTCTAAGTCATTGTAAATGTACAATATTATAATGTGGGTAATCTACACAGAGATCACTGAGTACTAAAGCGATCACTTTACTGACCAGCATTGGGAGGGGTTCCACAGGATGGTTCCTGGTGATTTCAATTATTCCTATCTACAATCTCAATTAAGGGGACTATTATAAGGGACACTATAAGACCCTAATAAGACCTCAGTTAAGTCACTGTTCTGGGATATAAAGACTGACTGAAATATTTTCTGTTTTTAAGAAGATAGATCTGGGGCCAGGATTTAGCTTAGTGGTTCCACCATCTGCCTAGCAAGCACAAGGTCCCAAGTTCAATCCCCGGTACAAAAAAAAAAGATCTGGGAAGCTACAAAGAAGTAATGCAGGACCAGAGAGGCCAGACAGGAGGTTTTGTAGGCACCTCCACATTAGATAAGAAGCTGGGGATGGGTAGATAGGAAGGGACACAGGCAAGAAGTCATAAAGGGTTGAAAGGGTTGGCAGATCTAAAGAATAAGTGAGGCAGCCATGAGAGAGAGAAAATCACGAGTAAATATGGGGTTTTAAGTCTTGAGAAGAAGGGACAATGTATCTGTAAAGAAGGGGCTGAGTTTAATTCTAGACATATTAAATAAGATATTCATGTAGGGCCATAGAGAAGAGAGCATCAGAATAGATTCTGAGATATACAAGATGTGAGCAGGGCTGACACATTGTAGTAGGCCTAGAGAGCAGGCTAGACACAAGATTATTCCATCTGAACTGGGCATTTGGCACCTCCAGGTGTGTGTGTGTTACATACTTAATGCTTTGTGAGCACCTTGAGGGGAGAGAACTGGTAGTGAGTGCCTCAACACATACAATCAAGGGCACATGGGGAATATAGAGCTGAAGCCTCCCTGGCTGCTCACAAAGTGCCTACTGCTACTAGGCCTCCAAATTGCCTTATCCTCCTCATTATTTTTCATGACATTAGAAGGCAAGCTGGCCCGGGTCCATGGGCCATTGGCCCTGCCAGCTGCCCCCTTCTCTTGAGAGGACACCACAAAGTCCTCACACAGATGTGCTGGGAAGAAAAGAAAGCTTCTCTGTAGTTTAAACCCTGCTATTGTTTTCTCAGTTCTGAAGATGATGACTAGTGCACAGGACCTAAAACATCTTCAATCACCTTCCCCTGCCAAGGACTGTATGAGTTGAAACTAAGAAAGAAAGGAGAGCGAGCTCTACAAAGAGCTCAGACAGAAAAGCCAAGACTTCTTCTAGCTCCAGAGCCTTGTGGTAAGTCTATGATCACATAGCCATTTACCCTCGGCTAAGGCCACATACTGGTCCCTCATAGACAAATACCCAACTCTGTTTCCTAACCATGTATCTTCCCTGTCCCTCCCTGAAACCTGGTGCAAGGTCCCATGGTTCACTTTTTCATACTTACCTCAGCAGTGGAAATAAAAGGGCTTGCACCTCTCTTTCAAGGCCTCTTGACAAGGGCCAGGCAGACAAAGTAGCATTCCTCAAGCAAATAGGTGTGTTCAACTTCTCTAAAGTTACTATTGCTTAGGCACACATTTAAGGTATGCTCTCTTTTGTCTCATTTGTCTAAGTCAGAAGCCAGCAAAGAAGATTAGGGCAGAGAATATCTAAGATGATTCCAGGCCTCCATTCACCAGCAGGTACCATAAACCTCCCTATCATCAGGTCATATGGAAAGGGTGGTCCCAATGTGGCTCAGTCTGTCTCTTCATGTGACTGGAAAGGAAAAGCAGAAAGCTTGAGCTATGGAACACCTTCCATTCCTGCCCATAACTCTGTTTCCAGAGCACATCAGTGAGGAACATGCCATACACCTGCAGGCTGCTCCTTCTTCCTGCTGTGAGAAAGCCTCCCTTCTCTGGACAAGCTCTGCAGACTGACAGCTTGTCAGGTCAGGCCTGCTCTGCAGGGGAGGGAAGCTGGCAGAGACTCCACTCCAGACCACATGCATGGGGGCCAAGAGGGAGTCTTCACTTATGCCCTTCAGGGAGACAGCTGTGATCTTGGACTTCTGGGCACTTTGCCCAATGGCCTGACATCCTGGAGGTGGAGGAGGGGCCCATGTGCCTTCAAGAAGGGAGTGTGACTTGGAAGTTTCTGGTAGAGGGGCCCAGACCTGAGGAGAGATTGTCAGCAACTGACAAGCAAATAAATCTTGTGCATACAATGGACAAATGCTGTACTTTTAAAAGTACCTACCTTTCTACTATAGAAATTCAGCAAGAACATCAGGAATTCCTTGGTGATGAAAAAGGGTGGAAAATTTCGCATTTCAAAATAATACTAACAAATTTCATATATTTCTTCCAAAGCTACTAGAGTGAACCTTCATCTCTACCCTGTTGGGAATTTCTGTGGTCTTGCCCTGGTCTCTCCAGTTGGTCCTGATGCTGGTCATTCAATAGGACAGGAAACCTTGGTTCTTTCTGCCCTAGCCCTCCTCTCATAACACTAGGACAGGAGGCCAAAGCAAAGATAAATGAAGTAAACTTCAATGCAGTTGCCCCTACCTCTCCAACACTCTGCCCCTCTCCCCTTCAACAACTTCAGTCTAAGAATCACTTCTGCAATGTAATTCTATCCTCAAAGCCATCTACTGTCAATCCAGTCTGTTCTTTGTCCACTACATTCCCTGCCAATCTGGGAAACCCAGGTCTATAATCTAGACCCAGGCCACTACACAGCTTCTGCTCTCCCAACCTTTCTCTTTTTAAACTTATTTTTTCTTTATGAAGCTTAACTGCAGACACTGTAAAAGCAATGCATATTCATAAAAATTTTGAAAAAATAATACACATAGGAAATAAAATGACTTAATGTCTCAATCTCACACTATCTCACACATATTAACTATAATTTTTAAAATCTATTTCCTTTAGTCTACTTGGTGTGGATTTTTCCTTTCTTTTTCTCCAGTCTAGACCAGTCTGGTTCCCCAACTATATCCCTAACTAGTTGTGTGATCTTAGGTAAGTTATTTAATTAATCTCTCAAAGCCCATTTTCTGACTAGAATGACTATGGAAGCTGATGCTGGTAGCTTTCTGTTACATTTGCTTTCCAATTAACTCTTTCAACATTAAAGTTAGATAACAGGAAATAGGGAGTTAGACCTTTCTCAAAGGGGACAAGGATCAAGAGATGGAGGAAGGGGAGGGAAAAGGGATAAAAAATGGAATCAAGATGTACTATGTAGATCTATCAACTCTCCACAAGGAATGTAAACATTATATACTATACCATGTACTAAGAAAAAAAAATAATCGGGCAAATCAATAAGAAAATAGGATTCAATTTATTACAAAATTCACATGACACACAACTTTTCAAAAACACACCTATGGCTCATCCACATCATCTGAGGCATGGCATGGTCTTATGTCATCATTTCTTACAGGTAGCAGAGCCCCAGCACAGGGAGCAGATTCATAAAGAGGGCTGAGAATAATTACAAGCTACCATTTTACTGTGCACCTACTACGTTTCAAAAACTCTAAGCTCTTGGCAAAAGTATTTTCCACCTTCTCAACAAATTTCCAAGACAAAACTCTTATCCTCAGTCTACAGATGAGGAAAACTGGGCTCAGATAAAATAAAGGGTTTGATTCCACTGCTCCCAGGGCAGAGGAGGTGAGCCAATCCCAGTACCCAGGAGGAGGCTCCCTGGCTTCAATTCCACCGCTCCCAGAGCAGAGGTGGTGAACCAATCCCAGTGCCCAGGAGGAGGCTCCCCAGCTGCCATTCTACTGCTCCCAGGGCAGAGGAGGTGAGCCAATCCCAGCACCCAGGAAGAGGCTCCCTGGCTGCCATTCCACCACTCCCAGCCCAGAGTTAGGGGCTTCTGGGCTGCCATTCTACGACTCCCAGCTCAGAGGAAAGGGCTTCTGGGCAGCTGTTCAACCACTCCCAGAGCAAAGGAGGTCAGCCCTGAGGATGCCAGCAACACTCCCACCTCCCCATGAAAATGAGAAGACATGTAAACAAGCTTCAAAAACAGAGTTCCGATCACCTACAGCAACCCCAAAGGGAAACGAGATGAAACACTCTGATACTCAACCACTTGGACTCCCTGAACTGGCAACAAAAGAGGATCTGGAAAAAAATGAAATCAGAAATAATTTCTCAGATAACAACAGAGATTGTGCTCATAGTGCAAGACATGATTAATAAATCTAGAGAGGACACAGATAAAAAAA